CTCAAGATTTTAAAAGCATAATAACTGTACTTTTTAGATAGTCAGAACTTAGTGAACCATTGAAAGTGACCCAGTTCATTGAACAGAGCTGAACAGATGGAATTTCAGCCTCGTCATGCTTGGGTGTCTCTCTGAACAATACAAAATCTTCCTTCAAAGCTGTCTCCACCAGCTCATACACGTAACATTTTGGGATATTTTGGTCACTTGTCAGTTCAGCTCACCCCATTTCGGGGTATAGTAGGTGACAGACTCTTAGTATTGGCCTAACGCTTGGGGTTTTTTTCATTAGAGTTTTGAAAAGGGTTGTTGTTTTGTTTCAGGCTCTAAAAAGCAAACAAAAAAAAAGAACCCTCTAGTACGCTCTTTGTTGGAAAATGTCTTGTCAGGCTCTGGCCCCTGAAACACAGTGGCTATTTTCCCTTTTTTTCATTTGACTTTCCTACCACTGCATGCTGACATAACATATTTACTGCACTTTTGTGATTTACAGCAAGCTTCTTGCTCAGCAGCTCTGAGGGACATGGCGATCCTTTGGCTGCCAAACAGAAACCACCAGCAGCACCTGTGAGGTGGCTGCTACTGCAGGGAGAAGAGAGGAAAGATAAAGTAATTTTGAGGAAAGTAAGAATAAATACAGTCAGAAAGCTGCCATCACTTCCTATGGGGCAAAAGCAGAGAAATAGGATGGATGGAAGGCTTAGGATAAGGTACTGATTTGCTAAATCAGTGCTGAACATGGCCGAGACCTCCTCTTGGAGCTGTATGTTCTCCTGAGAGCAAACTGTCTGGGGCTCTGATGCTTATGAACTGACAGCAATAAGCAAGCTTGGGTGAGGCAGGCTTCAAAGTAAGTGCAGGAAGATGTGCACAGAAGTAGTGTAGGGCTTTAATCTTCCCCTGTGCCTGAATACCTTGGAAAATTGTTGCTACTTCAGATTCATTCTGAAGTGCCTGTAGCAAGCTCTCCACTCCTCTTGGTTAGAAAAGTTTTAGAGTCTCAGTGTTTGTTTCTTTATAGTAAACTGGGAGTTTTTTGTTTAGATATGGCTTGGTGTCCTGGTTTCATCTGGGATAGAGTTCCTTTTTTTCTGTGGTACAGTGGTCTGTTTTGAATTCAGTGTAAGAATAATGTTGATAACACACTGATGTTTCAGTTGCTGGTAAGTATTGCTTACCCTAACTGCTTAGTTGCCAACTGGCGTTGAACCATGACACTTGGGAAAAGAAGAACCTGTACTAGTATATCAAAGGGTAACTAAGAGAAAACAACATGCTGAAGTCATTCAACCCGGACTGTATCAGATCACACAGCTGTGGCATGAACAGGGAAATACTCATACACTGCACAAGGAAAAAGCATCATCTGAAATAGGTGATTAAAAGGCAAGAAAAGGAGCATGGTCTGGACAGGTGCAGAGAAGGGCTAGGAGGCTTGTCAGGGAAATGAATATCCTTTTGTATATGAAACCAGAGGGTATGCATTTTGTGTAAATGGCTCTGAAGAGGTATTTCCCTCTGGCCGTGTGCATCCATAAGACAAGAAAAAGATAAGCATAGGGATGGAGAAGAGTCTAAAGGACAGTATAGGCAGAAGCATACATGAGTATGCGCTGCTTAGGAGGGCTTCTAGTCAACTAGAAGGTGGCTCTGAAACACGTGAAGAAAGTTCCCTGCCTTTCTCCTAGACTGGGGTAAGCAAGACCAAGTAGAGCTCATGGGTATATGCGGCATGGCTTCCCATGAGGGGGAGCTCCCTGACCCAGGAGTCATTCCGCTCCAGTCCTTAAATAAAGATACCTGCACCTGTAACTAGTATTTGGTATTTCTCCTAGTGGGGACATCTATGAAAAGAGACAAAATTTCCCCTATTCTCCAGGCTGGTGTGATGGCCCACTCAAGAGGCAATGCAGACCAGGTTTGTCATCACCTTTGCTATAACAATTTAGTAAATGAAGGGCTATTACTCAAATGCTTTTCACCTGCACTTTCTTTACTGAGAGAAAGAACAGTTCCCTGAAGTCTGTCTGTGCGGTAACGGGAGACAATTGAGGTACCTGTAATCTAATTAACCCCCCTACCAATAACAGTTGCGATAACAAGGTCCTTGGCATGTGGGCAAGTTCCTATCTTCCTGGAAAGGTTTTAATCAATTTGTACAAGTATCTCCTTCTCCTGTTCCACTGTGCGTGTACAACATTTAGGTTACAGAGAGCTCTGCTGCATGCAAATGTCTGCAGCCACATCTGTAATGGCCCTCTTCATCACACAGCCTTGGTCAGCAGCCCCTCCTCAGACAGGCGCCCAGTGCTGAGTCATGAGCACATCTGCTCTTTTTCAGGGAGTTGGCAGAGATACCTGCTCTACTACCTCCTGGGTGAACCAAGAAGGGAAATAAAATGCAAAGAACTTACTTATCATCAAAAATAGTAATTCTCCTCTGGTAGCTGTCTCATCAGACTATAAAACACTGGAGGATGCTCCAGTGGCTGGGTGAGGTTTATATCCATCCTCTGAATTCACCAAGTACTCTTTTCTAGGGTACTCTGGGATTTGTTAACTTTGGGTAAGCCACACCATAACTCCATGGTAGGCAAGGATCATACAAGTTTGTTACTGTACATTGGCCAGACGGGATGTTGGTGTAGCCTGACAGAACCATTTTCTGTCCTGTCTCAACTGGGACAATTGACAGCAGGCTATCCTGACTATGCTGCTCCATGCAGTCCTTGAACCTTGCAGCAGGCACCCTGGAGTCCAGGTGCAGCCATCCCCTGCCCACCACCATCATTACAGCTGTGGTTTGACTTGCAGGCTCATAACCCCCTGGATGTGCTGTCCTCACCGGACAGAGGGCAGGAGAATCATTGCCAACCACCCTGTCCTAGAGCACCTTCTCCTCTTGGTAGGCTGCATATTCTCTTCTGAAGGCAAATAATCTTTGTTAAGCCTCTGCCCTAGCCACAGTGGCATTCATTTAACCGATAGAGAGAGGCAAAAAGCAATCATCTTGTGTGATCCAGCGGGAAGCTGGACAAGGAGAAACTATTCACAGTATATTAATGCCTGGCTTGAGCCTAGTAAGTGTTATAATTAGGTGGCATTAATTAGTGTTGGAAAAGACTCTCATGTTTTATACTAAACCTTTGGCTAAAAGATAGGAGCAGAATACTTTCCTTGAAAAAATTCCATGTATATTTTCTTGTTTTACTAGTAGGGATTTTTAATCAGTTGAATGAACTTGTATGTACTAGTTAACTTTGCTGGAGTTTAGTGGTTGTATTTAAAGCAGATTTTATCCTAGAATGATATTAATTTGATAGGATCCCTGATCTGTAAAACCATTGGTTATCTTGGTCTCTCCTGATAAGAAAAAAAAAGTGCCGAGGGTTTCCAGTTGGTGAGCACATTTGGGCAGAATCTTTCACACGTCACAAATTGCAGATGGGAGGCAGTGATCTCGAACATGCAGTCACATTGCGTGACCATCTGACACCTTCCATTTAGAAAAATAATACTTTCCTCACAGCATACGCTCCCTGCTGCAACCAGCACCAAAAATTATGCCTGGGAGAGCTGTTCCTCCTAGACTAAGGTCTTAAATATTTCTTAGGCTGCTTTTAAAAGATTCATGTAGCAGCACCACCTCACTCACATCCTGCTAAACCAGAGAAAATACTGAAATTCTTCCCCAGACAGTGTTAATCACAAAATAGCTGAAAAGAACAAAAGGAGGGAAAAGACAGCAGGAAAATTATATACTTACACTAGCAGGGTGAACAATGGAAGGTTCTTGTTGTATGTGTAATTCAAACATGTAAAACACCGCATGGAGTTATTTCATACTGCTACCAGTTTCTCAGCTGCATAAAATCCCATAACTGTCTGGAAGTTCAGCTTTCAAATGCCCTGGTTTTGTGCATAATTCCTTTTGACAATGTGGTGTACTGATGCCCATTCATTTGAAATAGCAATGACCATTTCAGGGTGTCCTTTGCTATATATTGAGGTGTCAGTAGTGATAAAAAAAATCTTTACTGTTTAAGGACAAAGCCATCTGAATTTAAAGGGTGACATCTCACAGTAGCCTATTGTGTCCTCTTTGTTTCTATATCCCAGTAAAAAGCAAGAATAAAAATTAACTAACACTCATTCTTTCTACCCAAATTATAAGGCTGACTAGGAACATCATTTTAAGCCATAATATTGTCAGCCATAGGTTGGTGTGAGGGGGAAAAGCAGCTCCTGTTTTCCTACCTGACCAGTATAATCATCTTAAAGATTGGATCATGTTTTCCTATTCATCTGCCTAGAAGATGTGCCCCAGGAGCCATGTCAGCCAAGTACTTAATTTCTGCAGAGTGGCTTCCTCCCCTCTCACACCGTCACCATTTCAGTTTCTGAGTGCCATTGAGATCCATGAAGGAGGTGCCCCTTTAGCTGTTAAAATGTAGGTATGTTCCTAGAGAGTGGGGCACTGCTTGGTTGTTGTACTGGTGGAATTTACCAAATTGATGGCAGGGAGAACATCTCAAACCACTTTGTACAGGGATATGCCTCTCTGGCCACTGTGAGTGCAACGTGAGACACAGAAAAGCTTTTCAAGGACCTCTCATATCCACCTTGGAAGGCTGAGTCAGACCCCAGGGCATGTCTCCTCCCAACATCTTAGCAAGGACTCTGCCAGCCTCCAGGAGTTTTGTTGACAGTTTTGTGTTGCTGCAGATTTCTGGCCATTCAAGCTGGCCTGAGCCCACCACGCAGTGTTACAAACACCCATCATGCAGAAATAGCAATTAGTGTCTGCCACTGTGGGCCAAGTTTGAACTCATAGGCCGGATAAGAATGGCTCTATCTTCTCTCCTCATCCAGAAGATGTGACAGAAGCACTGGTGAGGCCACACCTCACCACCGGTGAGGTTGTACCTTCGGGCCTGTGTCCAGTTCTGGGCCCTCACTACCAGAATGACACTGAGGTGCTGGAGCATGACCAGAGAAGGGCAATGAAGCTGGCGAAGGGCCTAGAGAGTAAGTGCTATGAGGAGTGGCTGAGGCAGCTGGGGTTGTTCAGTCTGGGGATGAGGACGCTCAGGAAAGGCAGATAGCACTGTACTACGTGAAAGGAGGTTGTAGCAAGACAGGGATCATTCTCTTCTCCTAGGCAACTAGTGACTGGATGAGAGGAAATGGCCACACGCTGTGCCAGGGGAGGTTCAGGTTGAACATCAGGAAAGAGTGGTTAAGCATTGGAAGGAGCTGCCTAGGAAGGTTGGTGGAGTCACCATCCCTGGAAGCGTTCAAGAAATGACTGGACATGACACTTAGTGCTATGTTTAGTTGGCACGGTCATGTTCGGTCGAAGGTTGGACTTGATCTTGTAAATCTTTTCCAACCTTAATGGTTCTATGACTCTACGATCGTTTCAATGTCCTAAACCCTGAACTGGCCCTTTGAAAGACTAAATTCTCCAAACTCCTGCCTTGTACTTTCCAGCCCAGGCCTCCATAGACCTCTTCTTTCCCACAGAATCCTCTCCTCCGAATTCTTCCTTGCTAAGTGATGTGATGTTGCAGCTGTGTGAAGACTCTGTGCTGCTTTCACAAAGCACATGTGACTTCTGGGCACAGTGTTATCCCCTGTCTCACTCTTGGTAGAAGATGGTGAGCTCCTTCCCTGACAAAGAGTGTGTGCTGCACCTCTAGTGCTGGGGTTACATGCAGTGTGTAGGCAGTATGTCTACAGTAGGATCTACAGGCTAGGGATGCACTGTGCATGAAAGCTTGGATACTAAGGAAGCATTCGTTCATTGCAGACAGCCAAGAAGGGCGCAAGGGAGATGTGCAGCTTCTTGACTCATCCTCTAGCCCCCACTTTGGACATGCACCCCACCGCGGCCAGCATGGCTCTGTGCACCCTTGCAGGTGGGTCTCACCTGTGTGGTGTTTGGATAGATCTGCCACTTCCACCAACAGTCATGCTGTATATGCTGCTGCTTCCTAGCCTTTCTAGCCCCATGCTTAGCTCCTCCATCTACCCATGTGGTCATGGACTGCCTCATACAGCTTTATGTAGAGTAGGGTTGAAGTTTTAGGATGTTACAGGACTGGTCCACTTTGGGTACCAAGACAAAATTTCTCCCTGTGGAGCTAGAAGTGTCCAATCCTGATGTATCTCCCTTCTGGGGCTATTTAAGCAGAATATAGACTTAAATATTTCATTTTAACAACTTATAGGCACCTATATAGATCACCACAGCCTGTGACTCTTGCTTTGTGAGGATTACAGGCCCAGGTTTCATTTCCAAAAGCAAAGATCAAGTGGTGGTCCATCAGAGGAACAAAAACCTTAATGACTTCTCAGAATAAGCTCTCCTTCCCCTGCAGTGGTACTGCTTGCAAGAGGAAGCCTGGAGGCACTCAGAATGGGAACTAAGTCCTCCCTGTGGCTCAGGAGAGCCTATATTATTTTGGGGAAGATGGTTGAATACCCAAACCGCAGACTTTTCCCCCCTTTAATCCCATTTTTCTGATCTATTATGTTAAAAGTTATGACCTGCTTTTTATGTATCATCCTTGTGCCTGCCAGGAGTCATCGCTGTGTCTGGATCAGTAAGGCTGAGCCAACTGGTGAACTTGTCTCATTATCTCCTTGCCGAAAACTTACAAGCGTTACTTATTCTTGGATACTTGTAGTTTTTATGCTTTTCCTACCTAGAAGATTGGCTCAGGCATAGCAGAGCTCAGAGCACAAACCCATCTTTTGGCATTAACTTATACTGGGCTGGCTGTCATTTTACAGTACTTGCATTAAAGAGTAACTAACAATAGCTCTTACAAATCATAGATTATATTGTATTGTGTTAGCTCATATTGTTTGCTTTAAATTTATATTGTGCTTTAAATGTCACACATTAAAATTATTAGGGCAAGGTTTGCCCTCAGTTTACAGCCCCTCTCCCCAGCAGCTCATAAGAGAAGCTGCTGCACAGTTGTCCTCATCTCGTTTTAGTCACACAGTAGAAGTTAGAGGGAGTGTCCAGAGAGTCGTAACATAGCCTGGGGCTTTTCCCTTCCAGACAAGATTTTTGTTTGGAAATCCAGGTATCGAAATGCACTGGAAAGATGCATTTTTTTTCATTCACCCCCACCCTAAATCCTTGACTTCTGTCTGGGTACAGTGATGCAAAAGGGGATAAGGGACCAAAAAGCCCCACCTTGTCTTCGGTGATAGGTTTTTCTGAGTTCCCATCTAAGCCTGAGGAAGGGCACTCCTTTTCCTAGGGGAGTACTTTAATCAATGTATTCTTTTCGACTGTTGTTATTCTCTCTCATGTGTTGCTTTGCATTCTTCTAGTCTCTCCTCATATTTCCTCTAAAACACAGATCTTAAATAGCTTCAGCCGTGCATGCAGAACTTTCTGTGGATGTCCTTAATCTGTGAAAACAAGATCTGTAGCAGAGAAACTAATGCAGCCCAAAGCACAAAGATGCCAGTGACACTTCTTCAAGGCCTTTAAACTGGTGAATGTGATCTTATTTTGGCTTGTGACAAATCCCAGTGATGAAATGTCAGCAGTGTTTACACAGAATTCTCCCTATCACAAACAGTGCAGAATTAACCCTTTCCAGCACTGCTGTCAGGGCAAAACAAAGCTGTTGATTCCTTCTTTGAGGACTAGGCTGGCAGAGAAGAGGGAAACTGAACTGGAAGTATTGCCTAAGGTCAATCTGGAGGGTCAGCAGAGACCCTGCAAAGCTGACCATGCTCTGTGTGACAAACTGAACAAGACATGAGTTTCTTTCAAGTTCTCCTTGCAGAGTTTTCCAGGCACACCTGATGAGGGCAATGTCAAAATTCAGCCACAATTCCTTAGTGGAAGTTTGAACCAAAATCACAGCTGTCTTCCAGGCTCATCTTTGCCATTACATACGTGATGTCCAGGTCTCTCAGTTTCCATAGGATAGTTTAGGTGTGACACAAAGCTGGGTAAAGTTTAAGTGCAAAACTTAAGTGCCATGTAACCCTCTGACTGTGCATTAACAGCACAGGTGGTGGTCTAGGGACATAAAGGCAGCCACAGCCCAAGTCAAGGACAAGATAGCAGAAAGGAAGGTAACAGGATCCTTCTGTTAAAGGTTCTAACTGTGTTGAGGGTTAGGTCTACAGTGCACTTATATCACTACCATAACTGAAAAAACCCATGAGAGAAGCAGAGGATATGCAAGAGCAGGGAGTGGGTAGCCAGAGCTGAGTGAGCTGGCAGGCATCAAGGTGGAAGGAATACATAAGTGGTAGAAAAGCACTGACATTTCCCCTGGGAAGAAGCATGTCAAAAAGGCCTAGAAGAAAATGGGACCTTAAGATCCAGTCGTAAAAGAGAGAGTGGAGATGTCTAAGCGAGGAGAGCTGAAGGTGTCTCCACAGGGAGAAACAGAAGGTGACAGGTACAATGATGTCCTACGTGAGGTCAAGATACAGAGGGAGGCAGGAGAGGGGCAAAGCAAAATATGTTGTGGAGTCATGAGGCACATGAGAACTTTTTGTAATGACAACAGCAGAAAAAAAACACAAGGAAAGAAGTGGATTTTAGGAGAATCAGAAAGGGTAAAAAGGTGAAGCTAGTCCCTGCATGGGCCTGGAAGAGCAGGTCTCTATGATGGGGAAGTACAAAGAGATGGCAGCAGCCCAGGCACGTTGATGAAAGACTCCTCTGCTGTCCCAAACATCTTGCTAGAGATGGAGGTGGAGCTCTGGTAGTAGCTTCATCTGGAAACTGTGCTGGAAAATCACGGAGCCTCTCCTGTACTGCAGTAGGAGCAGTTTGTGAACTGTGTCACCCTGAGGTCAAGAGATAACAGAGGCAAAGGATGACTTGTACAAAACAGGCAAACTGTGGGAAGCAGAAAGCCTTGTGCAAACCCGATGTTTCAATGTTGATAACCAAAATATCTGTAAAGCTGAACTGAAGGAATAGGTAAGCTTTGACCTTATTTGGCAATATACATAAAGGATTACAGGCTTTGTTACTTTGTTGTTGGCTTTGTCTGGGGTAAAGAGGTGTGCTGGCTGCAACGGGGAAGTGGAGGGGTTCCCTGCACTGGTAAGGGAGGAAAGTGTTAATGAGGAAAAAATTATTTAGAGCTCTTAACCTGTGTCTTTCAGAGACATTATTACAGCAGCAACATCTTTCTTCTTTCAGATGTGCTGAGCCTTTCTAGTTCCTCTGAAAGTTTAAGGCAGGTGCAGACATTTAGCACCTTTAAAATTTTGTTGTGTCATACTCACCATGTTAGCTCAGTCCTTATATACTGCGTGGACACAAGTGCCTTATGGCTCTTGATTCTGAAAAGCAAACTGAATTAAACATAACCATTAAAGGCAGACTAAATACAGCCTCTGTGTCTCAGCTCACGGTTTGGTAAAAACCTTTTACACACAGACAAGTATGATAAGGCATACAGCTTCTTAGCTGGTGCAAGACATACTGAAAAGCCAAAAAACAGTGAGAAGAAAGAGAAAAATAGCAGAAGGGGTCTGGATGTTTCCTTCCTGACACAGTTTTCCTCTTTTAGGAATTTGCTTTAGGTTTTAAATTCCCTTTATAGAGAGAAACTGCAGTCCTGTTCCTGACGCTTTTGAGTACCCAAACACCTCTCTCCTTGCATTTTGGTCATTGGTTGTGCTCCTCAGAGGCCATTTCATCATGTTGCAAGGTAAGACAAGGCTGTGACCCAGATTCTGTTCTCTTGGGTGCTGTGGCTCAGCTGTATATACTAATGTTGCTTGGGGTTTCACTGTTTCCACCCTTCCTACTGTTCTGGTAAATTTGATTTCCCACTGCAACACATAAAGAGCAACAATACATGCTCCAAGGCATCATCTCACAACTCTTTGTCCTCAGCCATGAGAAAAAGTCCCTTTTAAATGCACTTCGCTTGCATTCATCTGGCTTCTGTTCTTATTTATATTATTTAATATTTTCATTCCATTTTTCTACAGTTCTTCGCCCAAGACCTTAGATAAACTACAGAACACTAAACAGAGTTGCAGTTACTTCCAAGGACAATAAAATCTAAGGGTCAAAGGAAGAAGAAAAGATTACTTTAAGGTAGACCTATAAAATCTTGTTCATTTCAGGGGCAGCGCGGGAGTCTGTGGTACAGATGTCTGCCTAACAGCTGGTTGCCATGTCCTACAAACACTTTTCCTGCTGAAAGCATGTTGGAAGGCATTTTAAGGGCAGTGCCGGTTAAGAAGAGTCAGCCCAACAGGCAGCTTGGAAAGATGACTGGAGTCCTGAATGCAGAATAATTCCCAAAGGATCCTTTTCTGTTTCACATGAATTAGTATTCTTCAGAATGTCTTTGTGCTTTACACCAAATAAGTGTATCTTATGTGTGTGTGGTGTTCTACACTTTTCACTGGTTCCTAAGAGGGTCCTCCCTGTCCCTCTCCACTTGTTTGCTCAAGGGCAAGAAACTGGAATTACATATCCCTTATGCTCATCAGTTGACAGAACACATTGCCTGCACCTCTTGCTGGTTACCTATGGAGCAGGGAGTACAAAACAAGCATAGCGCCAGGCAGGGCTTGAGAGGAATATCACCTTCTTTATAGCCGTGGCCAACTTACTTATTGTGATGAAAAACAATAATAATGCTAAAAATGAAACAGACAGTGCAGTGCTTACAACTTTGTTCCTTGGAAAGAGGTAAAGGATTTTAAAACATTCAGAATTATTTTCCAAAGTGATCACTTTGCCCATAACAAAAACATGGCAACTTCAGTGGTAGCACATGAGAGCTGGGGAATTAACAGCTCACCACTTCATTCCAGTGTCTGAAAGGGTCGTATAACCATCTGATCCCATTTCAGCAAATCGTCTTCCATGCAAACCTTGTGTCTATTTGTTGTTACTTTCTTAGCAGCAGAAGAGATGCTTTTGAATGTGCACATCTGCCCCTCCTAATATTTTTCAAAGGCTTTAAGGTTTATGCCCGACACCTTCTCTGCATGAAGTCCCTTTCTTCAGACAACTCAAGAATACTTTGCAAATATTTCTATTGTAATTCCGATGGCCACAGCATAGGGAGCATTCAGAAGGACACAGTTCACTGGACTGGAGCAATGGGGAGGGTGGAATTCAGCCCCCTGCATGCTTCACCAGGCTGTGCTCTGCCAAGCTTTCTTATGCCTTGCCTCTTTGGAACTGCCCTGCACTGGTGAGTAAAAAGAAACCTGCTGCCACATTATGGAGGCCAGGAACACGGAAGTACAGTGCAAGCAGCACTTGTCACCATGAATAAACAATGAAATGTGTTGGGTTTTTTTAAAGTTGCTAATTCCACCTGGCGTTTCTGAGCCCAGCATTGGAAGCATCCATCTTGTTAAAAAGTGATGTCATTTGTGACACTGGTAGTATTAGAAGAGACTGCAAATGAATTTTCAACCTGTTTTAATAATGATTTAACAACCAGGAAAGTAATCAATATTTTAGGGATAAATTTTCCACTGTGCCTTTAGCAGACTCCGTTTTTTGCCCATACAGAACCACGTCTACAGATCTGCTGGTGAAAATACATGTGTGCATGTGTCAAAAATGTACATGGGAAATATTACACCTGCAACATTTACAGCCCAGCACTGACTTTATATTGTGAATTTATAAAGTGAATTAAAAATCCCTTGGCCTTTACCCAGTCTCTGATAAAACCAATCCCACCTACCTTTCTGATGAAACTACAAAATAAATATTGTCTCTGTTTTGTCTCAGATATTTTTGTGTTTAAAAACAACCAAAAAAACTGGAGAGTTTTTGATATAGCGCAATATCTAGCACAAGGCACAAAAATGTCATTTACTGATAGAATTGGATGACATTTGGATTTCACATCCTGGTCACAAAATGAGATTATGGTATTCTAAAGTGCTTGGGAAATTGATGTGTGGATGCATTTTTTTAAAAAGTAGATTATCCAAACTAATTGATTCACAAAATAAAAAAATAAAAAGGAAAGAAGTTCAGTTTTCTTCATTTTTAATGCTGATTCATTCCATAGCTATGCCACTGAAAACAGAAGCCTTTGAAATGGCTTTGAGGTTTTGTTTGTTTACTTGTTTTTGCTGAGTGAATTGTTCCTATGCAATTACACTCCTACGTAAGAAATATTCCTATAAGACTATTTAATCATACAGAAAATTCCTGAAAAGGTAAGTGTGGAATTTATGTCCTCCTTTCTTGTGAGAAATAGACTAGTATTTTCTGGAGTAAGTAATAATTAGATTAGTTAGTGTCTTAAATTAATCTATTTTTTTAACTGAATAGTGTTCTGAACATTTTAAACCTGCGTCACTCAAAATCACTACTCCCTTAAAAAATCTTGGTCCTGCAGCAAAATTCTATGTATGACCTCATTTCCCTGAGGTTCTTTGTAATATATCACCAAGCTAGGTGACTTGACTTTATGTTCCAAAATACTCACATTACTATTGATAGTAAGTCATACTAATCCTAATAGTAGCATAATGAACTTTGGTTGCTTTATGAGAAGCTTATAAGGAAGATTAGATGATCTTTTAGATAATTAGAAAATAATTAGACAAATAATACCCAAAGGGTCAATTTCTAAGGGGTTTGTTTCATGTATGTTCGTTAAGTCACATTCCCACTTTGAAGTTAATGGGAGTCTCTTTACCTACAGCACTGTAGGGTTTGACCCAAGATTGTGGACACCACAATATAGATGAATAATTTTGCCAGTTTCTCACCAATAAAATCCTTGGGGATATTTGGCCAGCGAATGACTCCTAATGGTAATGTTAAAAATCTTGTTTATGTCTAGCAAGAAAAACAGCTACATTTTCATTTTAGAGCATATGGGATAAACACACCTTTGGAAACTGATGCTCAGCTCACCTGGAGCTGGATTAGGGACTATTTTTAGTGGCAAGGCAATTGGATTATACCATGCAGGAGCTGCTCTGAACTTCAAAACTTGATGTCATATACAATTTTACAAGTGTAAAAAGAGCAAAACGACCTTTCATTTTTATTTTTCTTCACAGCCTCCCAATGTGGAGATGGACCAGATGTCATAAAACACAACAAGGGTGTGTTGACAGGATGTGTGTTGTAATGGATGGGTTTATGGCGTGGAGACTGGGAGGACAGGGAAGGGGTGGTAGAGCTGCTGGGGAGCTGCTGGAGTCCCCACCTTGGGATGCTGGGCAGAAAGCATGGTCCAGACTGCAAGGTGCAGGTGGGCACTGCTGGGCCAGGCACAGTGGAAAGTATCACGAGTGACAAGAAAGGGATGTGAGCTGTGGGTGCACCTCCCCGTAGCTGTGTGGTGATCAGCTTTGTGAGGAGGTTAGGTGAGGGGAAAAGGGGGTTCCTCACCTATGGAACAGAAATCAGGTGGAGCAGCACCTCTAGAAAGTAGCAGAAATTATTAGAGACATGGTGAACAGCAGTGGATAGAGCACAGCATGAAATCGAATCAAACTGCAAGTGACAACAAGTGAAAATTGGGAAATCCTGACATTGGGATTTTGCTTAAATGATATGATACAGTAAAAGCTATCTCAGTTGGGGGATCTGAGATGGAAGTTGACAGTAAGAGTCCCAGAATGCTAAACATTTCCTTTCCTCTGGTCTTTACTCTAAATTTATCTTAGATCTGATTTAAAACCAGAACAGCACGGAAAGAAATATCTTTTTTCTGACTCCCATTCACTAATCCTCAGAAAATAACAGCTATGACCCTACAGTCATTCAAGATATTACTGACTTGGAGGATTTATGCGTCCATATAACTTTGTGTGTGCATGTGTGTGAGCAGGTATGTGAGACAGTCTATACTCCCATCTCTAGTACAAAACACCAGCCTGATATTTCTAAGCTGACAAATTTCAAAAATCTGTGAAGTAGAGAAAATATTTCGTTGTGCATGGTACAGAGAGAACCTTTTGGGAAGTAGAAAGGTTTCGGCAGGATGTCACAGGTATGAAGACAGATGTTTCAGCTGTCCTTCTGAGCCTGTTTCCAGGTACTTAAGTGTACTCTCGTACTACTTGTACTCTGGCAAAAAAAAGCCTTCAGAACTTGAAGCAGGCAATGGTGCTCGCAGCTGCTGGGAGGTACAAATAGTCTGTGGGGCAGGGTGCATCACGGTGTCTATTTCTCCTACCACTCAGGCTCAGCAGCCAAGCAATCCATGCTTGGATACGAGATGACTTGGGAACCCTTGGTGTGTTGTCATGCTTGGGAAGTTCCAGCTTCCCACTGAACTGGAGAGCAATGGCAGGCCTAAGCTGTTGCCCCCAGTGAGCTATTCAAGCCACAGACAAAAAGGGAATGAAAATAAATCTTGGCTCTCCACAATGAGCTGGTGGGATTGTCCAGGCAACTTAACACTGGGGTATGATGTTACAGTCAGCTGGCAATGGTGGAGTCTTATTCATCCCCTGAAGAGCCCTGAAAAAAGTTATATTGAAATAAACCTGACCAGAACATATGCCAAAGAAGGTTTCCATTGGAACACATTATTTCCATGACTTGATATCTTCCTACAGAAAATATCCCAGTGGTCTTCCCTAGCTTTCCTACTTTATTTTCTGACTGTGTGAACCCAGAGCCTCCCAAAGCTACCCATATGCCCATGTTCCCTCAGTCTACCAAGCAAAACATCTGCAAAGCACTTGGCTAAACCAGATTTTTTTCTAAAAATTCTTTTCTGTAATAAATGAAACTACCCAATCCCACATCCCAGCAAGCACCCTAGTTCAGAAATTTTCATTTTTATTTGGAATAAGAAATATTTTAAATACGTAAGCATCCCTGCAAGACTCCATTGCCAACTTGGAGGCAAACAAGGATATTTCAGATGCCACTATTCTTAATATTTCTATCATGTATGTGTTCTAGAAAGGAGGAGGAGTGGGTGTGAAGAGGAGTATCACGCCACACAGATCTAGGGGTTCACTGAAGGGCAGAGAACACTGCAGAGAGGAGACAGCCACAGGACTATACATACAGCATTAGTTACGGGCTGCAAGGTTCATGATGGGTTCCTCTCATCTGATTTTGTGGAAGGTGTGCTCAGCCTTCGAAAGCCTGAAAAGCACAGGAGCAAGGGATGACAAATGGTTTAATGATTACAGGACAGTACACCACATCACATGTTCTTGGTCCTTGGCCTGACCCAACTCCTGACCTGTTACATGATTGTAAGCAAATTCTTTTACTGTTCCAGTCCAAATCCTCCAATCTGCATCCAGGCAAAACAGTCACTTCAGTGAAATTCTCTCTTGCTGAATGTTTTATGGGTAACCACAA